ATATTTCTGTGTAATTTTAGATTTATTAACCTAATTTTTCTTACCTTGGAAAATTCTAATCATCATATTATCTCCCATGTGTTCCAACATTTTCTCACTAGATAAACTCTTTTGCCAGTAGAACTTCTTCCTCATCATATCCTCAAAAATTATGGAATTTGCTTATTGAATTCAAATTTTGTAACTTTTTATGCAGGTTCAAGTTGATGAAGGGGTACCCCTGAAGATTTGCTTATCACAGTTCTGTAAGTGGATTCATAAGATTCAGGAACAGAAGAATTTCTTTTTTAATACTGAAGCCTTGGATCCTTCTAGTTCTGAAGTGAAATTATGTGCCTTTGTTACTTGGTCAGGTAAAAACAAAATAAGTTATGCCTATGCTTCATAAATGGGTAGCATCTAATTCATGAGCTTTAATAAGAATTATACTTGTTGATCTCTTGTGCCAGAAAAAGAAATACAAGTGCTTAGCAGATGGTAAATAAGAAATGTAAATTCATTAATATTTTTTAAATTACCATTCTGGGATACTCTAAAAATTTAAACCTTAACTTTAAGAATCTTTCTAGATGATTCTCTTTGTTCTTCTGATTCTAGGTAAATATGATTAAGTAAAAACTCTTACCATGCTATTTGTTAACAACCTTGAATAAAAAGTGTTCTCATTTTGTTTACATCCTTTGGTTTGTACTTTTAAGGCTTACTAAGGAGCAATGGTAGCGTATTGCCTAAGGCTCTTGACTGCTAACCAGAAGACTGGTGGTTTAAACCCACCAGCCCTTCCTCAGAAGGAAGGTTGGGCAATCCTACTTCCGTAGTGATACTGCCTCGGAAACCCAAGGAGGGGTCGCTATGAGTCGGGGCCGACTCGACGGCACATAACAACAACAACAACAACAATGTAGACATAAGGGAGAAAGGATTTAAAATAGTCCTTTTTTATGATCATAATATAGCATTACCATGAATTGTCATTGATAAGAATGCTGTGCCACGGATAGCATAGCACTGATAATCATATTTGGTTTTAAGTTGCTATAAAATATTTGGTTCTTCAATTACATAAATATTTTCCTAGAGCATTGAAAGCAGATAATCTTCTCCACATAGGCCTTGAAATTTGATATCTTCCCCTTCTTTTTGAAATATTCATTGTAGTTTATAGGGGTGCTTAAGAAATCATGTTGAAACTTAGTCACCAACATAAAATTTCTTAATAGTAAATTTTGTGAAGTGAATACTTATTAGCTATTAGTACAGCAATTAAATCTTACTATTCTATTTTATATCATCTTCCAGCATTTTATTTATAAATTTACTAAAGGTGATAGCATAAGTGAAAAAATACTGGCACCACTAATGTTATTCTCTTGTAATGTACTTAACACAGATTGGGACTTGGGAGTTTGCCTGGAGTATGAATGCAAAAGGAAACAGCTGTTCAAACCTGTGTTCTTAAACTCTTGGATTGACCTCAAGGCAACTTACAAGGTAAGGTGGTATGGGCATGTTCACTTTCCATCTATTAAAAAATGATTAAGCTTTAATCCCACACATGGTTATGAATTTCTGCAAATAAAATGTTTTCTTTTTAAGTGTTCATATAAATACATTTGTATAAATGTACATTTTTGAAAAGAATACATAAGGTGCTGCCATAGCACCACCTTACTATGGTTAAAATTAGTAGTGGTCATAATACATTTGTATAAATGTACATTTAAATGTTCATATATATACATTTGTATATTTGTATAAATACAAAGTATTTGTTTTGGTTCTCTAGTGCTGCAAGTGGATGACTTTAACAAATAGGAGGTTATTCTCTTACAGTTTAGGAGGCTAGAAGTCCAAATTCAAAGTGCCAGCTCAAGGGGCTAGATGAAGGCTTCTTGACCTTGGGTTTCAGCTCTGCCTCTTGCTTCCGCCCCAATGGAGCTGGAGGTGTTTCTTAACTCAAGCAGCTGCTGGCTGCTGAGGCTGGCAAATCCAGGATCAACAAGTAAAATGGCACAGTCCCAAGATTAGCAAGCAACACGAGAGGCCACTAGTTCAAGTCCAGAAACAGTCCCAAGATTGGCAGGCTGCTAAATGAAGACTTGGCTACATTCAGGATCCAAGCATGCCAAAGAGCTCCATAGACTTTCTCAAAGCTTCTCTTAAATGCTGGAAGCAGACCCATCCTTAAGGTAGCTACTCAGCTGCTTACAGCAGATTCTACTATGGAGTTGATTACCAGTATCATCATGGGGAATAACTACATCCAGCTGCCCAGCCAAGTTGACACATAACCTTAACTACCACAGTATTTGAAACAACAACAGAAATAAGTACATTCCATATTTAATGGGACTGAGAATCATGAAAAGTAACTGGCTAATATATTTCTTTTCAAATAGTAATCAGGTTTATTTTATTTTTTAGATATATCTTCTTTTATTTCCTTAGCTTTTCTATAGGAGAAAACCAAAGGGACTTAGTGGTGCCTTGCAGGAAGTGGGAATAGAATTCTCAGGACGAGAGCACTCAGGTTAGTATAAATTGAAAATTATCATGTAGTCATAAGAGTATTTTTTTAAATATTTTCTGTGAATTCCACTTATTTTATAATATAATTAGTAAAAAATATCTTTCAGACTAAAAATAGCTTCTCATCCTACAGTTCAAATTATGTGTAAGACTTTCAAGTTACTGTGTTCATAAACTATTACAAAGATTGCCATCTGGTGGCTTTCTAGTTGCTAAAAAGAATGAAAAGAATTAGCTGAATCAAATGGAGATTAAACAAATGCTCCAATAATACAATAGTAAAAAAGGGAGGCAGCCTTACTAGATTACTCACAAATTTTGGTCCCTATAGAATATTGGTCCCATTTTGTGGACTGCCTAGCATACTTCTTTAGTATATGTGGGAGACCTCATCTTTCATTGATAATGCTGCCATAGCACCACCTTACCATGGTTAAAATTAGTAATGATAATAAAACTAACAATGCCTCAATTTCCTCATACCCTCACCTCTAGTTCCTGTAGAGTCAATTCTAACTCACAGTGACCTCGTGTGTCAGAATGAAACTATGCTCCATAGGGTTTTCACTGGTCAATTTTTTTTCCGAAGTACAGTCATGCGTTGCTTAATGTCCGTGATATGTTCTATGAAGTAGAACATTATGTGATCTGGACGTTGTGTGAACACCATATTATATATATAGGCAGTCCCCAGATTTCAAACGAGTTCTGTTCTTAAATCTGTCTTTAAGTTGAATTTGTAGGTTAAGTCAGAACAGGTAATGGTTTGTACCTAACGTTAGTCAGTGTTTGTTTTGGTGTATAGTGTATGTGTACCTTTCTATAAAGTGCATAAGAAACACTTCCAGATACTCTAAAGCATTTTTAACATAATAATACAGTGATGATAATAATAGTGTTTTGGTGCATGGTGCAAAGCAGCACCTGTTACTGTAAACTATTGTATGTACTTCGAATTTTTAGTATGACGGGCTTTATGAGGGTTGGGATCGTGGATGTATATGCAGCCAGAGGTTGCCCAAATGGACATTACGGGGCACATCACTAGATTGCCAGGCTTTTCTTCCAAGGCACCTCTGGGTGGACTGCGACCTCCAGCCTATTCTTAGTGGCTGAGGAGGTTTAACTACTATACCACCCAGGGTCTCCGATTTATGGATAAGTGGTGGTGGTTTATTTTGTTTTTTTGCTGTATTTCTTTACATTTGCTACACATTTTGATTTTAATACCAATTTCCTCAGGGTTGGATGATTCTCGGAATACCGCCCATCTTGCTTGGAAAATGATCAGGGATGGTTGCTTAATGAAAATTACTAGATCCTTGAATAAGGTTAGTGGTGTCTTACCTCTTTATTCTGTCATCTCAACCCCAGAGGTAACCATAGTATATCGAAATGTAGATTTCATACCTGTGGTCATTTATGCATGAGGGCTCAATGGTTCAGTACTTGGCTGCTAACTGAAAGGTTGATGATTCAAACTCACCCAGCAGCTCCATGGAAGAAAACCAGGAGATCTGCTTCCATAAGATTACAGCCAAGAAAACCCTATGGGGCAGTTCTACTCTGTCAGATGGGGTTGCTGTGAGTCAGAATCGACTCGATGGCACATAATAACAAGTCATTTGTAAGTCAATCAGTGACAGTTTTTTCTTTTGTCGTATAATGTGTACTGAAGAATAATAAATGTACATTTTACAAAACTATTGGATTTGTCTGTGGAATCACAGGTATCCACTAAGAGGAATCCCAACATTTTGGCCAGAAATTTGAATACAAAGCAGGTTGAAGAAACTTCTGACTGTAACAGTACCATCCAGGATTTCAATATACATAAGGAGCCTAAGATTACAACAAATTCTGATGAAAAAGTTCCAGTGACGTCAGCTTGTGTGAATTCTTCTGTAAAGGTCCAGCAAAATCAGTTACAACTAAAGAGCAATGTGAAAGCAGGTCTTCACAATGCCAATAGCTGTTTGTCTCTTTTCAATAGTAAATCCTTTACTTCTCTGGGGCAGTTACAATCTCCCAGCTTGAATTCACCTATGGACATGCAAAAGCAAATAAAAAATGGACACCTTGCATTTAATGCCAAATCTAAGCCTTCAACAGCTAGTTCAGGGTTGGTGCTTGTTTCTACTACCATTTCTTCTGTTAATCATGTTTCTGATATGGAAATGAGTTCTGCTCTTGACTGTTTACCTATGTTAGCTGATTGGGAAGATGTAGCTTTACTGCCAGCCTCTCAGCCTGAGGACAATATAGATTGTATGCTTCCCATTAGCGATTCAAGCTTAGACACTTCATTTGATTCTGGAGAAGGATTAACAGTTATAAAAGAACTTGAAATGCTAGGTTGTGAAAACTTTGGCAGTACAGAGGAAGTGCCTCAAAAATCTGACACTTCTAAGTCTGTGGTATACAAGAGCCCTCACACTACTATTTACAGTGTAAGAAAAGTCAAAGACCCAGTTTCAAATGTTTCTGCTTTTAAGTTACCTAAACCCAAACTAAGTATCTTCACAACAACAAAACCCAAACTAAGTATCTTCACCAATGTTAGTGCCAATATGTCTCATCCAATTTTGGGAAAACATCCTCTTCTTTTAGGCACTACTAAAAGAAACCCATCCAGTCCGCCCGCTTTTCCGCCAGTGAAAAAACAGATCTTCACTGTTCATGAGGAAAAGGCTACACCGTCTGATTGCTCCCCAGTGAGAAGTTCCCCCCGGAAGATTGTGCCCTCTGTATTAACTTCTAGAGCTAACCTACAAGAGCCTTGGAAGGGTGAGAAAATGACACCTCCTTTATGCAAGTGTGGCCGAAGATCTAGGAGACTTGTTGTTTCTAATAATGGACCAAACCATGGAAAAGTCTTCTATTGTTGCCCTATTGGAAAATACCAAGAAAACAGAAAACAATGTGGTTATTTCAAATGGGAGCAGACACTTCAAAAGGAGAGAGCCAACAATACAGTGTCTCATTCCCCTGGGGGGCTCACTTTTAGTTCTCCAGAAACAAGCTGTATTTCTGACAGAAATGCAAATTTTTCTACTAAAAATTATTTGAGACTGAGACCTTCAATGAGGAGTTGATAAATTCTCTTTATACCTAATTTAGCTTTTACTTTAATGTGATTTTTAATGCAAAGAGAAAAAGTGTACAGGGCTACTAGTTATGAGAACTCAGTGGACATATCAGAGCTTTGTAGACCACACTGGGACTACTGAAACATGCACACATACATACAAGCTAAAAATAGAGAAAAAGTAAATTTAATGGACTTCTAATTTTATTTACTAGTTCAGTCTTCTGTATGCCATTTACTTGTTCATGTATGAATTCAAATTGCTCCTTAAATTCCAAATTTTATGACTATTCTGATAATGTCTTGAAGGAATCATGGTGGAAAGTGGTTAACTGCTCAGCTGCTAACTAAAGGGCTGGCAGTTTGAGCCCACCAGCCCCTCCGTGGGAGAAAATGTTGCAGTCTGCTTCCATTAAAATATCAGCCTTGGAAACCCTAAGGGGCAGTTCTGCCCTGTCCTTTTGGGTTACTATGAGTTGGAATCAACTCGACAGCAAAGAGTTTGGTTTTTGGTTTTGATAATGGCTTGCATTATTTCTATTTTAGTATGTTAACATTTGAGGAATTTATCATAATTTCTTGAGAACCACAAGTAAAAATTTTGTTAACTGTATTTATTAGGTTACGTATACTAGACAATGATACATGATATCCTTTGACCTTGAAATAAATTTTAAAGTATTTTTAAAGTATTTGAATAAAAATGACAAAAAAAATCCCTACTCTTTTTTCAGTTATATACTTATACTTTAAGGATTATGTTAAGCTGAAAATTTTACTTCTCTCAAACTTTTTATAAATTGTTTAGTTTTATAAGGCTTGAAGATGGGTTCTAATTTGTAAATAAATCAGTATATTGGAAGAATTATTCAACTAAGATTTAAAAACCAACATTACAGAGATTGCATTCAGAAATGACTTCTATACTGGACATTTTAAAATTCTTCAGTAATTGATGGTATTCTTTTTATATTACTAAATTACAAGAAAAATGACATTAATACAGAGGCATTGACAGAATGTTCCATTTCAGAAGTCAGTCTTTGATGTCATTACCACAGATATTTAAATCAACAGTTTATAAGCATACTCCCACTTTTTGATCACCTGTCCCTAATCTTGTGAGTTTTATAGAATCTTTGTTTTATAGATAACTGTGATAATTATTACAATGAATCAATTTAAATTTTTTCCCATTCTTTTTTTCTCAGTTCATTTCTTTTTATCTTCCCACTGACAGTCTTTGGCAGCTCTTGTATAAATTCTACCTGTTGGTATCAAGAGAAATAGAATTAGCTCAGAATTTTTATCTTTAGATAAAGTCAATTTATATAGCAGTTTTATATGAACTCAAAATCAGAGAATTAGAATACCCATTTGGGTGAGTTTTTGGTAATAAAAAGGGAAAGGGGTGTTGTTGAGATTTTTCTTGATTTCTATTATTTACTACAAGTCCAGTGAACTAAATGACCCAACAAATTAAGCCAGAGATTTCATTTTAATCTCAAAGATTCTGATTCTTGTCCATATGTCACTTCAGTTTGGAACACTAGTATCACATTTTTGAGGAGAATGTTCATTCATGTTGAGGAGGACAGTCTGCCTCTGTATTTACCTCCAGGTTGTCTATGCAGAGGCATTGGGTTCAGAACATGCTCTGATCAGGAAGCTGGGAATTTAGTCTCACTCTTTCTCAGTCCCATCTTATCAGAGAAACCTTCCTTTTCTGCGCACACAGTAACTTTCTCTGTCCTGCTCACGTGCAAGCACCATATGGAACCTGGCCATTTCCACTTTGATACCCATTCCTGGCAGGGATGGATCAGATCTGTCCTGCACTGGCCACAAAGGGTGACTCATTGGATATGAGAGACTAGTGCCCATAATTGGAGCTAAACTCACTCTGTCTCTTGGGAGTAAAGCAATATCCCATGCACTAGCAGAGCTTGTGGACTGTGTCTTTTGTTGGTGATCTCGAACACTCACAACAGTTAGACAGCTGACGTCTTCCCAGAACACTGAGCAGTTATCCATAATTAGAATACCTACCTTTCTGGGATATTTGTAAGGTGCTGTAGTCTTTTTTACATGCTCCTGAATCTCCTTTTTTAATTGTTCTTGGTCACATGACTTGTAATCAGGGTTCAGAACAATAAAAGCCTTTACTACCTAAAATAAATAATTGAAACACCAGGAAAATAAGTTGTGTATTTGTTTGTTTGGTTTTGAGCTATAAGAATTTTCAGTGAGTTATAATTTAACTGCCATAATATTGACTTTTTTAGTATGTACAATTCAGTGGTTTTTTTTTTTTTT